CTCAACAGAGGTGTGAAATATGAAATGAATAATATGTTCGTGTGGCTCTATTACAGTATGATCCATGATAAATTCTTTGATGATTAGTTTAATTTATATTTCCACAATTCTGCTTGATTACCCTTGTGGCATTTGATCCATCATCACGTATAGGTTTATCAAATTAAATTCTCTTTTGATTGTATAGTTAAATTTTTTTTCACCGTTTGATTTGTTATTGTTTGAGGGACTTGTGAAGAACTGGTGCTTATGGTTTGATTTATCTTTAGCTGGTTGTATGTGGTGTTCTCAATGCTTGTTTGTTTAGAAGATTTTTATGAATGTGTTAATGCTTTCTTTCGTTTCATGCAACTTAGTGTTCTGGGTTATGGAAGCGTAATTTCTGAAACCCCCTTTTGAGTGCTGATATAGTTTCTTAAATGTGTGTGAAATTGGCATATTTGAAATGTTAATTCTTGTGATCTTGTTTCTAATGTGTTATGAGTTATCTTTTGGTTGCAACTGATAAAAACTGTCAACTATGGGGTTTGTAATTGTTAATTGTTATATAACACAAGCACTCGAGTTCCTAGGATTGGTTGGGGACAATTGGCGCAGGTTACCTTTGTGTAAAATTCATCAGCTACATTTGTGATTAGTTTAGGAATGATGCAGTTGAAATAAGAAGTTAACTGTGAAGTGCTCTTTAAATTTTGCAATAATCCTTGGGTTTGACCTCTGTTTTTCTCCTTAGGCACTTAAAAGCAATGGAAATTGCTGGTTTTATACATTTTATGTTCTGCTTATTTGTGAATTTGTATTTTTGGTTAAGGCGTTGAGGATTTCTACTTGAAGATTGACAGCTTCTGCATAGACGCATTGGGACATTGGGATAGGCCTATTCATTTCGAGACTGATTGGAAAGAAAATCGATATCGACTTCGGACTTGACCTTTTTTTTCGGTTTATTGTAGTTTTTATTTACAGATGGTTTGTGTAGATTCAGCCTTTTGGAGAAAATATTTTTCAAAAGTTTGATATAATTATTTTGTGGAAGAATTATGTGTTTAATTGATATTACAACTGGACAAAAGAACAGTTATTTTTTGGTTGGTTACTTCATGTAGATTTTGTTTTGAATATTTCTTATGGTTATTTTTATTGACGGTTTTTGTTTCATTTATTTGTAGCTATGTTGCATTTTATATTTTAGTTGTTCATTACTTTTGTGAGTGAATGATTCGTTTTTGTGTATATAGAGTATTAATTTTATAACTATAATAAACTAAAATTATACTATATATAAATTTTTCTTGTATAATAAACTGAAAATAAACTATATATAAATTCAAATTTTCTTGTATTCTTGTTATGGTTTATAAATTTATAATAAACTAAAAATAAATTAGATATAGATTTATAGTAGAAAATTTAGTTTATATACCCAAGATAAACTTATAATAAACTAAAAATAAATTAGATATAAATTTATAGTAATTATATACTCAAGATAAACTTATAATAAACTAAAAATAAATTAGATATAACTTTATAGTAGAAAATCTTGTTTATATACCCAAGATAAACTTATAGTAAACTAAAAACAAATTAGATATAAATTTATAGTAATTATATACCCAAGATAAACTTATAATAAACTAAAAATAAATTAGATATAAATTTATAGTAGAAAATCTTGTTTATATACCCAAGATAAACTTATAATAAACTAAAAATAAATTATAAATTTAGATATAAATTTATAGTAGTAGAAAATCTTGTTTATAAATCCAATATAAACTGAAAATAAACTAAATATAAATCTATACAAACAAAGGCCAACAAAATTATAAATTTTGCATCTTGTATTTATACGAGTAAAATATTAACACAATATTACTATTACTATTTCACTTGACATAAAACCCTCCAAAACTCCACATAACATTTTTTCTCATACTTCAAAATTCACAGATTTTGCTCGAAAAAAATAAAGTAAAATAAAATAAACTAGAAAAATATTGAAAATGGTGAGGTTGCTTTCTCTCTTCCATCTTCTACCGTCGTATGGGCCGCATCTGCCACCGTGCGAGTCGTCGGGAGCTGCGGGTGTGCCGACGTTTGGGTTCGAGAAGAGGTGTGAAACTCCTAGTCGCCAAAATAGCTTGAGGAACCAAATCATTTGAAGCTCGAGCATACATGCGGTGAATGGCCATGGATGTTGCATCCTCCACCTCATCAGCATTCAACAGCCCTAGCAAACAATGTCCCAAAATCCTCAAAACCGGCTGCAGTAATTCCCATGGCATGACATAGGAATTTGTGCAACTTTTCTCCCCCATTTGTTGAATTATGTTCCTGGATTACAAAATCCTTTACTCTCTCCCTCACACTTTCAATCTCAACATCCTCAACCAAAATTTCATTCCAAAATCCATCCCCGTTCTCGATAACACTCAAAATTTTGGTTGAATTTTGAGGTACAATGGCAATCAGTCCAAGCCGCAACATACCTACACCAGTCACGTTTTGACCAGCTCGGCATCTGGAAAGATTTGCCTGTAATAGCAATCGAGATCAGGGATGCAAATTGTGACGGGCTTCCCGTTGCGGGCCTTGGTCTCGGTCGAGTAGACGGCGAGAAGTACGGCCCTAATTCGGAGAGCCGTAGAGGGAGACTGGTCGGTCTATGGCGTGGTGGTGGATTCGGCGGAGGTAGACGGCTTGCGACGATCCGGATGGTGGCACACACCTCCTACGCTTTCAATGGCTGAAGAGTAGGGAGATCGGGAGTCAGGAAAATTAGGATTGCGCGTCGATCTCAGAAATTAAGCGCCGATCACGAAAAATTAGGATTTGCAATTGAGATTTTTGTTTGCAATTGATATAGACATCGTTAATTTACGATTAAATTTTATGAAGAATGTAATTTTGTGAGAAAAACTTGTACCTCGTTATATAAGAAGTACTGTTAATAATAGAGATACGCGCGTCTTTTAGCCAAAAAGTAAATCCAAACAAGCTATCAAATCCTTTTGGATTTGTTCCATTATTTTCCTTTATTTCATCCAGATTCTTTACATCCACAGAGTTTTCGTACTTCATTTCATTGTCGACATACACGCTGCCACAAATATTTTGTACACTAGTATATTCGTTTTCATAAAGTATATTTCCACACTGATCCCATAGGACACTTTCTTGTTTACCCTTCACGGATTCAAGAGCTTCACTGCAGTTCACATAATCAAACAATTCAAACTTCAACAAGATCATTATACAAGTAACTTTAGCAAATATCAAGTTATATCAAAAAATAAAACCACCACCATCGAGATGGCCTAAATTGAAATTATAGCCTCTTTTAGCAGCCCATTTTGAGGGTCAATAACAATAACCATCACATCCCACCATCTCTCCATTTCAGCTTTATAAAATATTACTATAAAGGTAGTTTTACAAATTTTTGCTCATAGAGATGAGGTTAAATTAACACTAGCCACTGCAAGAATGCTAAATAGTTTTGGCAATTAATTCTCCTTTTTATGTCACGAATCGTAATTTGATAATACTCTTAAGAAGAAAATGTAACTAACCATGAGCAGAACATGGTGATAAAAGTCCAATTCAAAAGTATTGGAATATTTATGAAGTTTCCCTGGATGAAGGAGTCTTCTTGGCATCCTCAGCAGCAGCTTTCTCAGCCTCTATCTTGAGAACAATGGCATCAATATCAGCTTCTTCAAGCTGCCGTAAACCGTGATCTTTAGTCATCACGGCAACTTCAATGTTCTTTCCTCCGCTCTCCACAACCTTCAAAATCATCAAGATCGAATTATTAATAACCCATAAAAAAAATGCTACTATCTTATATGGATGTGTCTTAACAATGGTTTGTTGTATTCTATCAGTAACGACTAAGTCCAACACCGAGAAATCCAGTCTTTCCCGCTTTAGGCAATGCTTCAACACCACACAATCATAATACATATTTTCAAATTTCTCAATGAAACTTAAGTACAAATGTTGTTATTGATTTGTTATTATTTATCCCGGATTTCAGCGTACGAATAAAAGATTCATAGTCAAAGTACTTCACAACATGATGCAGCAATTGTTACAGCAAATATTGGGCTGTCCTGTTGCATTGTTCATTGGTCCAGGAGCTTCTGTATAGCTTGGCCATCACTAATGCAATAAAAGTAAAATGAGGTTACATCCGATTCGGTGTTACGAAGAATTTAGTTTTGAAAAGGCTGAACATTAATCTAGAAGAAACTATCAAGTACTCACCAATATGTTTGAGCACAAATAAGATGAAATTACTTTAAATAAAATATTCCAACTTAACTAGCAACATAATTACAAGCCACAAGGAACACACGAAAGCCAATATCCTACTCATCATGCCATTAATCAATATTTCCATTGATCTAAATTACTTCAATGAAAACCTAACAGATATCAACGTTTATAAACAGTGGTCATGGCTGAGGAGTATAACCATGCATGAGTCTACTTCGATTTGATGTCAATATTACCACAACAAGTTAAACTAGCAGTTGATACTATCCACTCTCACGAATTCCTATAAAACTCTCGAGTTTCTGAAATACACATGAAAAGAATCACAACCCAATATTCTGAAACCCAAACAGCAAGTTGACTAAAGCACGTAAGGCTATTAATGTTCACCTCCAGCAAAGCACGGATTGCCAACTTGACGGTTTCCTGTCCAGATGTCTCCTTGTAATTCTTCTCCAAAAACTCTCTAATCGAGTTTGAATTTCTGCCAGTAGCATTGGCTTTCCACGCAGAGAATGTTCCGGATGGGTCTGTCTGGTAAAGTGATGGAATGCCTGTGTGTGGGTCAAACCCAATGATCAAAGTCGAGAGTCCAAAAGGTCTCACACCACCACTCTGTGTATATTTCTGCTGAAGACCGGCAATATAACGGGTTATGTATTCAACGGTAACAGGGTCCTCGATTGTAAGCTTGTGGCTCTGACATTCGATACGTGCTCTGTTGATCAAAACACGTGCGTCGGCCTTCAGGCCAGCACAAGCCAAGGCTATGTGATCATCTAAATTGACAATCTTCCTCACTGATCTGAAAGGCACCAAAGCAGAATAGGCATTAACTGCAAAATGCTTAAACCGCAAGAAAACTGGAAGTGATGTAAAAGGATACTTACATAACAATCTAACAACTTCCAAATAATGATTTAAAGTGTAAGGCAGAGCATCAGCTAGAAAAGGTGATTTTATTCTCAGAAAAATATTAACAAACAAGTCATTTTTAGAGAATTTTATACACATTAACTTTTCACATGTATAAAAAGCTATAATCTTTTGTATTGTCGAATAAGACTTGTCTAAGCCTCTGAAATTCCAAGAAATCCACATGGATTCTGATTATTTAAAATCCTACTTGTATTAAGAGTTATCAACAAAAGTGGACTAGAGAGAAAAACATCTCCAAATTTCATTCTGAAGGTAAAGGAGAAGCATGACGCTCAAAATTTACATATTGTTCTTGAAAACCAAATGGTAAAAGCATAGTTTCAGGATAATTTTTGGAACTCACAAAAATCCTATAGTCCTGAAATCGCACACATCACCGCCATTTTACAATTTAACCTAAAATATAAGCTTTAAACAATTTCCTTGTTAGGAAACAACCTACAGTCAAACAACACTAGAGATGTAGAAGTAACATTACTTTCTCCAATACATTGAAATGTCTGCAGAAATAACTATACTAAGAGACAAATAGTTTCAGATAACAAAAATCAGCAATCAAAACTGAATCTTCAGCACTACAATTAACTGAACACAACCCTGCAGTAAACGTAATTACATCTCACCAAAACATCCCTTAAACCCTAATTAAATTCAAAACTTCCTTCAATCCACAACATATCTCCAGAAATGAAAATTTTGTTTCTCTGGATCTCCGAGTTTGTATGCGAGAGAGAGAGAGAGAGGAGAAAACCTGGAATCCTGAAGTTTAGGAGCGGACTTTTTCTCGACGGCAAGTACGATAGTATCGGTGCCTCGAACACCGACGGCGGCGTTACCTTTGCGCACGGCTTCGAGAGCGTACTCGACCTGGAAAAGGTGGCCATCCGGCGAGAAAACAGTGATTGCTCTGTCGTATCGGGCCATAACTCACCCTTCTCCGGATTATCTCTTTGAAAAGCTTCGATATGTACACGAGTTCCGATTTGCTACTCGATCTTTCCGCTTTCAAATGCTGACTGGGAAGTCCTGGAACGGATGTAATTTGCTTTTATTTTAATCTTCGGGCAGCCAGCCAATGATACTGAATCACAATGCTTTGATACAAATGGCTCACTCACTTTTGGTTTTCAAGTCAAAATTAACTCAACCAAATTCTTCTTACTATACAATATAATTAAATAATATCAATTCAATATTCTTACACCAGTTTTGTTATGGAGTCATCGGATGGCTCGGCTTATGGAGCCATCCACACTTATTCCCCAATAGTGTATTGACATGTGTCCTGCAATAAATACACTTTGGACATGTGTCAATACATTAAGTGGTGGATGGCTCCATAAAAAAACCATCTGATGGCTCCATAAAATTTTTTATTCTTACACATCACATTAATCCATTGAAGACGGACCTAGTGAAGGCTTTCAGAAATGAGTTCCGTCAGACAAAAAATGCAAATAAATTTGCCTCCTCCGATGTACTATAAGTTTTTTATTCGATTTACTGTTTTATTGTAAAGATTGAATCTTGACATGTGATATGCTTTGTATTGTTTTTTTTATCGGTAAAAGTAAATATATAGATAAAACTGGTGTTCGAACGACCGGCAGACGGCCTACAAAAGCGTAGTGGGCAGCCACATGCACGGCTCCTCACTCGCAGGTCATAAGTCTAAGAGGGCAACCACATGTCGGTTACTCACTCAAGTCCAAGAAAAACAAAAATGCAAAAACCCCAAGCGCATCGCGATGCGACGCTCGGCTCGACGCCCGGCTTCCACTGTACGTGAGGTGGCCCGCATCCGCAAGCTCTCATTGCCAAGGGGATACCTATCATACTCCAAGGGCTTTCCTCTCATATTCGGCAAGGACATTCAGATACAACGCAAAGATTGTACGATAAACATGGGTTTGGATCTTACAGATGACTAGACTCGGAGGTTGAGATTCATCTTAAAAAATCAACCTATTTCTCGCATTCCAAATGAAGTACACAGTTGTCGCAAGCGCCGCTTTCTTCAACTTGGTTTGCCAACTAGCCCCTCGAGCCTCCTTCTTGGTCCATTTAAGAGCCTCTTTTAGTGTCAATGGCCTATGACGGAGGCCAGCCCACCCTCGAATCACCCCCCAAATTTCCAAGCTAAAGGGGCACTCAAAAAATAGGTGACCCGATGATTCAACACCACCACCACAGAGAGAGCAAGTCGGGTCTACATCAAGGAACTCTAACCGGTCCTTTGTATGGAGACGATTGAGCACTCCCAACCAAAGAATGAAGGTGTGTTTGGGGGTATTGCAAGGGCCCCAAACTACCCCCGTCCATGACACCAATGTACCGCGAGGCCTTAAGAAATCATAACAACTTCGCGACCTATCTTGCTTACCTCGTGAACTCCAACGATGAAGTAGGGCTTCTGCGGCTTGCTCACTACCCACCTTATCAACCAAGACACGTCGGATCTCGAAGAGAGATTTGAAAAGGGGAGGGTCATCCTTGTGTATTTCCCATTCCCACATGGACATTCACCCAAATAAATGTTGTGGATCCATTTGTACCATAAGGTGTCCTTCTTGTCTTGCATGTTCCAAAGAGTATGTGCAAGCAACCTTTGGTTCCAAGCGCTCAAATCATGAAGACCCAGCCCTTTTCCGAGCGCGGGAGGCATAAGTTATCCTAAGCAACGGGAGCGCTTTTGTATTTTAAAGTAAATGAGTGTGGTGTTTTTGTCATGTTATGTTTGAATGAAATATATATAATGGTCCGAGGGAGGGCCACATGTTTGTGAAAGTTTGGACATGTTTATTTCTTTATTATTTTGTATCTAGATAGTCGTGTCTATATGTACTTACTCTATTTTTTTTTTTCAGTGTTTTATTTATAATCTTTAAGATCCGGAATTATATGCTTTCTCATTAACTGTACATTGAGGTGGGAAGTTTGTTAATGTCCCTATAGCAAAATATGAAAGGGGTCAGATGTTTATAGAAATATTACATTTATGAGGGAGATGGGTTTAAGTTATTGGTTAATGACAATGACCTGAAAAATTGTGCATNATTCATTACATGATTCTGACTACAATATGAGTAATGAATTTAGTGAAGATGATGGAATATGGTTAGAATATGTTGATGTGAGTAATGTTGATGATGTGGTCCATGGCAGTAATGTTGATGTGTCTGAGAGTACTATTCATAAACAAAAAGAAAATATAGATGTGAATATGTTGATGCTGCAGATAGTGGTTCTGAGGATGATGATGCTATCCATGAAGTGCTTCATTTTGATGAGAAAATGGTGTCTGATGAATGTGAGTCTAATGATTCCGTGTTTAACCTTATCATGATTTTTAAACCAACATTTGAGTTAGGCATGGTGTTTTAAGGCATAATATTTGACAATTTTGTTTAACATCTTAAATATGAAGTTATTACAAAAAATACCATGTTCTTGTTCGATAATCAGAGAAAATTAGAGTGCTGGACGAGTCATAAACTCTAATATTATTTTTTGTTGATGGGCGATTTAAAAATATCTTTTGGGATTGAAAATTTTAAATTTCAATAAGCCGACCCTTTTAAAAGTTAAATCGGTTCACATAAGAATTTTTGGAAATGAAAAGTATAGATTTCATATTCTTTTATTATAATAAAACCAAAATATATATATATATATGATTTGTGTATGCCTGTTGCCAGAAAAAAGCTCAACTGCCTACCATTCACGTGGATTAATATCTACACCTATGCAAAAATATTGTTACTGCAATACATTATTGGTATATAGTATGTCAATCTCTTGTGGCATGACATTAACACATTAAAATGTATCATTTCAGTTTTCATTTGCAAACGTGGTAGGTGATCAGACCATGATAGAATCAGCAGAGTCCGGTCAGATCAAGCAACTGTGAAAAGTACTTCCAAAATTTAACCAACTGAATCCATCAAACTTCGGAGGCAAAATAAAAACACTACTCTGCACTATGACCAAATGGTGACTATAGTACTATACCATATCAACATATCTTGAACTTGAACAATCAAAAAGGCTTCAATATTACAAATTTACAACAATTGAGGAATAAAATCAACAGACATGAAAAACACTAAGAAAAACTGTACTTACAAACTCTTACACGCACACATTTGGTTAAACTGAGACCTAACCCAGTTACATACTGCACAACTTTTTTATTGTACAAATCAAGACTATCAACAGACTCTGAAAACCTTGTTTTTATTGAGTGGTTAATCTTATTCATTTTTCCCCATCAACCAACCGCCATGCTCAGAATCTTTTGTGGTTAACTGAATAATGATGATCGTGTGATGATGGATTATCGATGTTATTGCTGTAAGATATACTTGAAATCCCTCTCGAGTTATGGTCGAAAGGCATTTGAGACTTATTGCCAGAGGCTGCTGTAATAAATCTCTTTCCTTGCTTAGCATTTTTCCTTCGAAATTGAGAAGAACGAGGGATGAAAACGCCCGTGCCTTTGCTCTCGTTCTTGTTCATTTGTTGATGATAATAATCGATAAAGGGAGGTTCTTGTCTTGCTGGGTGTATTGATTGAGCGAGAGCCTGAAGATGTGGTAAAAAGGGAACCAAAAATGAAGGAACTTGTGAAGAAATAAGTATGACACAGACAACAATAAAGATACTTTTAAAGGGGCCAAAATTAGGTAAGTACTATTAGAGGTGATCATGTTATGACTCATGATGCATGAGATAAGTGGAAACAAAATTGGTCTTATTAAAATATTAAATAAGTGTAATTACAAATGTAACCTTGATGTTTCGTCTAATTACAAAAGACCTCAGCTGTCTTTTAAATATCCAATTCTCAAATATAAGAGTTCCTGTCTGTTCTTTCGTTTATATGATTGTAGTTAAGTTTCACGTGAAGAGTAATTTTGTAATAACCAGTTTAAAGAAACAATGGTTTTCTTGAAGGTACTTAGTAATTAACCAACATATATAAGAGATTAGATGAAAATCATACAGTTATATAGGAAATGAGTGATTAATACCTGTAAATTTACTGATGGATGCTGAGCAAGTGGGTCATCATCATCCATGATCAGAAGAGAGATCTGCTTGCTCAAATCTTTGAAGAAAATATCATCATCCAATTCCAAAGCAGCTTCCATTTTTTATTTTTTTATTTTTCCTGTGTGTGTGTGTGTTCTTAAAAGAGCTTACTAGCCTTGAACAAGCTACAACAATAGTAAGCAGCAAGAAAATAACAAAAGAAAAATATCACTTCTTCTGATAATTGTCTTTCATTTCTAAAGTCTCTCAACCACTATCTTTTCTATTTTTCTTTTTTTTTGTTTTCCCTAAAAGTTTTTTCAATAAACTTTTTCCTCTGCTCTCCAGTTGAATCAGATGCCTGTGTTTTTGAATAGAGGTGATGGGATCCAAAATATAGGTATTAGTATATGGGCTTGCGTGTTGTTGGTGGGTCCAAGAAAGTCAGTTGGTCATGTTGTCATAAGTCCATGGGCATGGGCCCCACAAGGATTTATGACATTATCACAAAAGAGAGTGTGTGCTGATTTCATATTATCCAGTTGTGGGAAAGAAGATGAGGAAAGGAGCAAAAAAAGTGTCCCACAACCCAGATTATGTAATCCATAGATAGATTTTTCAATCTTTTAAGGCATATATACTTGGTTGTGAATGGTCAAACC